ACTGTCATAAAGATCCCAGTCAAGAAGACCCAATGGAGAAGTCCTACTCTAACGTATGAGGTCATCAGGAGTGGACTCAAATAAGGGGCACTGGATTTGGGGTGGTTTTTCATTTTGCTTTTAATACTGGAATACTTGATTTTTCCGAATTAAGACTTCTGATGTAAGGTTGTGCTTAAGAATACATACAATATTAGAATTTATGAACAGGTTTAGAAAACAAGAAAATCTGACCCTTCCTCCTTTCCCCCAACACATGCTTGTGGTGTTACAGTGTATTACTGAGAAACACTCATCAAAATTATTATCATAAACATTGTGTAGAGATAAAGATCAATGATTCCCTTCAATGGTTATAGTATTCTGTATAGCTGATAAATGAGTCATCCTGCCACACACATCCCCCACAGCACCCCCAGACCCTGTTCACATGAAGCACAAAGGAAAAAGGGCAGTAACAACATGTGGGATTATTAAGCCTGTTTCCCAGGATTTCAACTATTGTAAATCAACAGACACACATCAATAATCAGGATACCTGTTTGTGTAGCAACATGGGTATCCCACTGAGAGGACTGGAGGAAATCTGCTTCATTCATGTGTGTGAAGGATGTGGTTTAGGAACAAGGTATAGCATTAGCAACATTGAAGTAAAACAAATAATGTGACACTAGAAGGCAACACTGTTCATTTAACATAACCAGTTACAATACAGTAACTAACTCAGACACTCTCAGGTGTAAATTACACAAATCTGAAAGTTGCATTTATTAGTTAATGCCTTATTCCCAGACAGGTGCTTACTCAACAGTAAAATCTGGTTTTGCATACCAAATTTAAAGCTACTGAATAAACAAAGTTTTTGTTGTTGTTTTTAAACAAACTGAGCTGTCACACATGTAGCCAAACTATCTGTGTACATTTAAAATATTGTTGTTGTTATGTGCCTTGGAGTCAGTTCCGACTCATAGCAACCCTGTATAGGGTTTCCAAGGCTGTAAATCTTTATAGGAACACAAAGCCTCATCTTTCTCCTGCCGAACAGCTGGTAGTTTCGAACTGCTGACCTTGTGGTTCACAGCCCAATTCGTAACTACTACGCTTCCAGAGCTCCTTACATTTAAAATATTTTTCTCTAATTCTATAACAATGCTTTATTTTTACTAACACCAGTAGAAATTAAATATGAATTCTACTAATAGGCAGAAATCCTTGACGATTGGATGGTTTTAAAGCATCCCTTAGGAATATTACAAGGAAACTGACTTTACATAAGTAGTCTAACAGGCTGATAACATTTTGGGTGAGACTTGTTGGAGCAAGAGCTAAGATACCCTAAAAGGACCTAAAGAGATGAAGGTTCTCATCACACATGATTTCTCCAACTTAGGTTGCTAGCCATGCCTAAGCACATGTGAAATTTTGCAAGAGAGTTTGTGATTTCTAACAATTCGCCCTCTTGAAGGCCCTTTGCAGAGTAGAGTCTCTAAGTAAAGGGGATCTTTTTGCTTTGTGTCAATAGCTCCAGAGTGGTTGGGGGGGTGGGGGGGTCTGGATCCAGTCAGAGGATGGTGCTTCTGAATGGGGCCCAGAATCCTCTGGGAGTCACCTAAACTGGCCTGCACAGACTGGTACAGACCCGCCCAGGACCCCTCAGGGTCAGAGTAGGGCAGCTACACAGGAGGAGTGCATTCAATGGGGAGATCACTTACGACCGAGTTTTTCATCATAGCTTTCACTGTGAAGCCCTCGGAAACCAGGGAGTGCGGCTGGTGCAAAGGTAGAGCCTGTTGGGCCAGCAGCTTGGTCCTCTTCGGCATCTTGTCTGGGCATTTGTTTAAGCTTAGGGTCTCTTTTTCTGCCACCATCTTCCTAGGAAATGTCTTGTTCTCATACAAAAAAAAAAAAGTGTTTTAGGAATCAGTGGGGCTTACGGATGTGAGAAGACAATCGGGGAAAAAATGTCAAAAGGCTCAAAACTGATCGAAATTCAACCCCTCCTGGTGGCCAGGTCGATCCAGATGTTTGGCAGCTCCTAGGTGAAGGGAGTTTGGGGGAGGGGAGGGGCGGGAGGAAGGCAGGACCGCGGCTAGAGCAGCAACAAGCTTCCAAAGGTAAGCCAGAGGTTGCTAAGCGACAACATCAACATTGCGGCCGAACGGCCTCACCCTGTCGTGACGTGGGCTTCCTGGGCCTTGAAGCCGGAAAGGGCCGCGGTAGAAACACAGACGGGGCGAAGACCCGGCTGTGCGTCAAGACTACGACTCCCAGCAAGCCAAGGGCCACGAGGCATATGCGCATGCGCACTGCTGGAGGGTGCCCGCGAGAGCCGCAGTGGGAGGTAGTGAGTAGGCGGGGAGAAGAGGCGATGCGTCTCCGAACTACGACTCCCGGCATGCTGCGAGCCTCAGGCCTCTGCGCGTGCGTACTAGTCCGGTGTGAGACAGGGGGAACCCAGACCAGAGCGACATCCAGGGAGAGTGGCCGTGGAAGGCAGCGGGCGCTGGGCGCGTGGCCCTATTGCCGAGCGGCCGCCGCCCGCCCAGTGACCATGATAGGTACGTGGTGCCTGCCAGGTACAGGTGTGTGCGCCGCTATGCCGTGCCGGGCCGCGGGGTCGGCGGCACGTCATGACCCCTGCAGTGGCAGGTAACCAGTGTCCACGCGGCGTGGGCTCCTGCCCCGCAGAACTCGGCCGGGCCTGCCCGGATAGGAGTGTGTGTTCGGCGATCCTCAGTCAAGTCAGCGTCCAGGGACACCAGCCAGGGTTGCCCATGGTCCCATGCCCCGGCCAGACTCGCCCAGGTGCCCTTTACCTTGTCCAGGTCAGCCTGGCTGGCTAACCTTAGGTACAACAGTAGGACTCTTTAAGGGCTATATGATCACGTGCCCGGCCAGACCTGCCCAGGTGTCCTCCCTCCCTCACTTGTCTAAGTGAGCCAGACTGATTCACCTTAGGACCTTAGGACGCATTGGAACCTGTCAGTAGGATTCTGTAAGGCCCACATGCCTGACCAGACCCTTGTGGGATCAGGAGCACCGCCTTTCTCTGCCCAGGTGGCCTTCACCTTGTCTATGTGAGCCTGGCTGGCTAACTTAAGAAACAGTAGGACTTTTAAGGGCCACATGGTTACATGCCCTGGCTGACCCACCCAGGTGTCTTCCCTCACCTGCCCAGATAAGCCTGGCTGGCTAACCTTAGGAACAGTAGGGCTCTTTAAGACCACTCTGTCACATGCCAGACCAGACCCTCCCAGGTGTCTTCCCTCACCTGCTCAGATGAGTCTGCCTGGTTCACATTAGAGTACATTGAACCCCTGTCAGTAGTACTTCTTAGGGTCTACATGGCCACATGGTGCCCCAGTCAAACCACCCACGTGTTCTCCCTCATTTGTCCAGATGAACCTGGCTGGTTTACCTTAGGACACACTGGAACCCGGTGACAATAAAACTCTAGTGAAAGGTAGGCACATAGAATTGATGGTTGGGATGAAGACATGCTTTCATTGCGTTTATACTTCTTGCTCTCCGTGTTTTCCTTCTGAGCTGCTCCCTAAAAGTCTATGATGAAAAGATAATTAGTAGTATTAATAGCAAAGACTGAATCTGCTACATTTTACATAACAAATTAACTACAATATGTATTCTGAAGCAAAAGGACCTAGATGTGCCCAGAGTAAAGCTTTGGGAGTGGATATTATAGAGTTGTTCCTACACACGCTGATGTTCTTTCAGAGGCCATCCCTGGGAATGGGTGAGAATACAGCAGGGTAAGTTCATGGAAAATTAAAAGAGAATGGAATTTTTCCATGCGCTTTTTGAAGCCCCTTCTTATATCAGGGGTACAATGAGATTGTTTCACTTTATTACTGGGGAGTATCACTTACAAAACAATTTGAATACAGCAAGTATATGTGAATTCAGAGGGTGACAGTCCAGAGAGGTGGGTGATGGATTTATAAAATATCTGTGTGTCTTAGTTCCCTGGTGTTGCTCTTAACAGAGCTATCACATATGGATGTCTTTAATAAACGGACGTCCATCTTCTTCACATTTCTGAAGGCTAACATTCCTAGTGGGGGTCACCTTTGTTGGTTTCTGGAGGCATTCCTTGGTTCCCTGGGGATCTTTACGTGGCATCTGTCTTCTCCCCTTGGGTGCTGGCTGTTGTCTTTAAACTGATCTTATGAGTCCGAAATAACTAGGGAGGGTTAGGACACAGCTGACACTGAGATGGGTCACTAACTTAGCAACGTAGATTTAGGGGGAACCCACCGACTGCTCCTCAGAAGCCCTATACAGAGTTGCTGAGTCAGAACTGACTTGATGGCATTTAACGGCGACAACAGGCACAGAGAAGCATTTTCTGTTGCTGTTAGTTGCAGTTGATTGCACAAGGAGTCCAGGATACACCGTGGAGTAAACGGTGGGCTGCTAATCTCAAGGTCAGCAGTTCAAACCCATCGGCCACTTTGGGAGAGAAAGATGAATCTCTCTGCTCCTGTAAAGACACATCATCTTGGAAATCATAGAAGTTTTGTTCTGTTTTATGAGTTTAAATCAACTGCAGAGCATGGATTTATCAATGAAATAAACCAGGATGACCTTCTTAATCTTAACTCGGTCCTGTTGGTGGTGGTGTTAAGCGCCATCATATTGGATCCGACTCATAGAGACCCTGTGTAACAGCTGGTGGGCTTGAACCACCGACCTTGGATTAGAAGTCAGTGTTTATCCTGCAACAGTGAATGCACTCAAGTGGATAATAAAAAAATTCCCCTTGATTTCACGAATGAACAAAGTGCTGCCAGTGATTTTTAACACTGAGTGTAGTGGTTAACATTACCGAATTCTTTTGGTGGGCACATTGCAATAAAACTTTTAATGGCCAGTTTTGGACTTGAGTGTGTTGAACAGTGCTAAAGCAAGTGAAAGGCAGTGATTGGAAGTGTCTGGTCTGATGGGTTTCCTGCTTTTGTTGCAAAAATGTGGACCCAGCGAAGGCATCGTTCTCTCTATCCAGTGCTACTCATACTCAGGAGGTCATCCCCAAACCAAAAGCCAGACCATTGCCATCAAGTCTGGGTCAACTTATAGCAACTGCTATAGGATTTCCAAGACGGGCTCAGATAGCCTCATCTTTTACCCACCTTGGAATGACTGATGCTTTTGAATTGCCAACCTAGCAGTCCAGTGTTTACCCTACAGTGCCACCAGGGCTCCTAAATCTGGAGGTCAAGAAACATATAAACATACACATATCAGGGGATTGTTTCTTTTGTTAAAGACAGCTGAACACTTCATCATCTTGCTCCCTTGGCCTGCGTTCTCTGCGTCCTACCCTTCTTTAACACAAATAATCATCTTCCTTGGAAACCCTATGCAGGGTCACTATAAGTCATAACCTTCTGATTGGCACTTAGCAACAACAACAACAACAACTTCCTTTACTTTTGTTGTTGCTGAGGGGAAAGGATGTGTGAGTCAGATAGGGGTGAAGGGGGCTTGAAGGGTACCTCACTCCTTTTTAGTTTTACCAAATGTAGATTTGTCTTCTTGCCTCCTAGTACTTACATTTCCCATGTGGATTGTGATTGATACGTTAAGTCCCCAGACAGTTTCAGAAACATCATCTTATTGAAGTCGATGAACAGTAGGGCCTTGGGAGGAGTATGCCGGCTTCATGAGGATAATGAAGCAGAGTAGAAAAGATTAAGAGAAGACCTTTTAGAAAAATCTAATTGTAGACATCTCTATTAAAAATATTTAAAATAGTTGTTCATCAATTTAAAACACAACAACAATAAAACTTTGTATCAAAGAGCTCTGGTAGCGTAGTGGTTACGAGTTGGCTGCTAACCTCAAGGTCTGCAGTTCAAAACTACCAGCTGCTCCACGGGAAAACGATGAGGTGAGGCTTTCTGTTCCCATAAAGATTTACAGCCTCGGAAACCCTGTATAGGGTCGTTATGAGTTAGAACGGACTCCTCGGCACATAACCACTATCACCACCACCACCATCATCATGAAATGGATGAATGTTTACAGAACAGATCATCAGTTTTACATTGAACAATTCATACACAATGAGCAGGATCAGTATTTTTTATGTTTTAATTTTGATTTAAAAGCTCTTTGTGATTAAATACCAAATTTTAGTGGTAATATTTGTGCCACATTCTAATTGACCTATGGGGCTGACTGTAGACATGTGGATAATATCTTATACTGAAGTGTTATTGTTAGGTGCCATTGAGTCGGTACCAACTCATGGTGACCCTGTGCACAGCAGAATTAAACACTGCCCCAACCTTACAATCGTTGCTACATGTGAGCTCATCGCTGCTGCCACTGTGCCAATCCATCTCGTTGTAGGTCTTCGTCCTTTTCTCCCACCCTCCACTTACCAAGCATGATGTCCTGATAATGTGTCCGAAGTATGAGAGGCAAAGTCTGGCCTTCCTGGCTTCCAAGGAGTATTCTATCTGTGTTTATTCCATCAGATTGGTTTGTGCTTTTGACAGGCCATGATATTTTCAGTATTCTCTAATGCAACAGCTTAAATGCATCAATTCTTCTACGGTCTTCCTTATTCACCGTCCAACTTTCACATGCATATGACGTTATTGAAAATACCATGGCTTCAATCAGGTGTACCTTAGTCCTCAACACTTTAAAGAGGTCTTGTGCAACAGATTTGTCTGATACAGTACGTTGTTTGTTTTCTTGACTGTTGCTTCCATGATTTTTGATGCTGGATACAGCAAAATGAAATCTTTGACAACTTGAATCTTTTCTCTGTTTATATGGATGTTGCGTATTGGTCCACTGGTGAGAATTTTTGTTTTCTTCACATTGAGATGCAACC